AAAATCAATAGACTTTATTTTTTCAGGCACAGCAGAGTTTTAAGTGGCTTGGTGTCATGATTAACTCCTAGCTCACCTTCCTAAAAGCAATATTGGAAAAACTAAGGCAGTGGTACTTGCAAATTCAAAGGTAAATAGAGAGAGTGAGTTTTAGATAAATGGTGAAAGTCAAGGAAAACTTTACTAAACATTAAATATTGGTACTATACCTCAGCAAAGACAAAAGAAATCTCTAAGGAGAGAACAGTGCTGACCATAATGGTCTCAATAAATTTAATTCCTAACTAAGCAACCCCCAGAGTTATTGTACAAGGACTATACTTAACTATACTCTTCTTCTGTCCTTGAAAATACAATCTTCTATAATAATAAAAGCGTAATATGCTAATTAGACCAGAGGATCTTCTGGACGAAGCCAGGGCTGCAAGGAAAGCCAGGTCCCAGGTGCCTGCCAGTGGCAGGAGGGAAGCCAAGGTCCCAGGTACCAGAGGGAAGCCGGTGCTGGCAGTCGGGGGAAGGAAGGCCTACTCTTGCATGAATTTCATGTATCGGGCCTCTAGTATAAATATAAATAATGCACACACCATTTTACTTAGCAGCAAAGAAATGAGTAGTTTGTAATATCCAGCCTTTCACTATAATTCAAACAGGTCTCAAATAAGATGAGAAAAAAAATCAGGAATTTTACCCAAACTATACACAGCAAACAAAATCTAATCATGATGACGACAAATACAAAAGAGAGTTAAGTAATCAGTTTGGGGAAAAATCATCACTGAAAAAAAATGAAATTTCTACATGGATATTGATTTTTTTTTTAATGAAGGAGCTAAAGAAATTAGTTTAAAACAAGAAAATATTGGTGGGGAGAAGAGCAACACCTGCCATTCAGCCTATTACTGCCCTTGGGGGAATATGGGCCTAGTATAGCAGGTTTTGCATTTCAAAACAGCTTTATTCAGGTGAAATTGACATACAATAAGCTACTATATTTAAAGTTTTAAAATTGATGTTTGGCGATACATACCCATTAATCCATCACCACTCAAGATAGCAAGCATATCTACCCAAAATGCTTCCCCAAACCCTTTTATAATTCCTTTCTTCCACTCTTTTATATCCCTATGAAACCAACAATATATTTTACTGTATATATAAATATATGTAAATGGTTTGTTTTTCTAAGGTTTATGTCAGTTTAAGCATGTATATTGCATGTTTGTATTTTAGTCTGGCCTCCTTTACTAAGCATAGTTCTTCTAAAATTTGTCTGTGTTGTTACATGTATTGATGTTTCATTTCTTTTTATTGTGGAGTAGTATTCCATTGTATAGGTATACTATAATTTTTTTATTTGTTCACTTGATTATGGATATCAAGTGGTTTGTTTCCCCATTTGGGTTGTTACCAAATTTGGGCTCTTAATAAAGCTACTGTTAACATTCATGTGAAATGTTTGCTTTAATTTCCCTTGATTTAATACCTAAGAGTGGAATGCCCAGATCATGTGCTAGATGTATATTTAACTTTTCAGAAACTGCCAATCATTTTTTTAAAGGAGTTTTTACCATTGTATGTACCCACCAGCAATGTATGAGAGTTCCACTTAGTATATTCTCACCAATATTTGTTGTTATCTTTTCATTTTACTGGTGTCTTTTGAAGAGCACATAATTTTGATGAAGTTCAAATTGCCAGTTTGTTTTTATGGATTTTTCTTTTGGTTTCATAGCTAAGAAATCTTTGCCTAACTCCAGGTCACTAAGATTTATTCCTGTTTTCTTCTATGAGTTTTATAGTTTTAGCTCTTAAGATTTAGGTCTATGATTCATTTGAAATTATTTTTGTATATGGTGGGAAGGATGGATTGATTTTGTTAGGGGTTTGTTTTGTTTTTTTGTTTTTGCATATGGACATCCAGTTGACCCAGCACAATTTATTGAAAAGATTATCCTTTTTCCACTGACTTGCTTTTACACCTTTGTTGAAAATCAATAATTCAGATTTTTACAGACTTACTTTTGCTCTTATATCTAATAAGTTTTAAATTCAGTAGTATTAGTCCTCCAACTTTGTTTTTTTTATTTTCTCTTTTTGTTTTTTCTTTTTCATTTTATTTATTTTTTCTTTTAGAAGCAAAGCCTTTTTTTTTAAGTTTCTTTATATGATGAATGACA